TAATTAGTCTTCAGAATTATATTTATTAGTATAATCAATGTTATCTGTTTTATTAGTATTATCCATTTTACCAGTTTTCTTTCAAGAATCTGTTATTACATAACGTATATAACAGATATAAACTAATTTTGTTGATGACCGTTTAATCGAAACCTTTTCAATACTAAATTTTCACACGATTCGATCAGGGTTGCCTGGTTTATAGTTAATGTTAACTAGAAATTGTCATCAAATTAACTAATTAACCAGAACTGTAATAACATATATATATAGTGTGTAAAGATAAAAACATAAGAATTTCATATGTATACATGACATCAGTGTTGTTAACTGAAAATACTGGAAGGCTACTGGAACTCCACTAGAAGTAAAAATTAATAGTATTACTAGAACTTTTACTATTAGAAATTTTTACTAGAAGGCTAAAAATTCCCACTAGAAGCCAAAATTAACATCACTGTTATACATGTGTACAGAAATCTCTAATTTTATAATTCTGGGTTATTTTAGCTGATTTGTTCAGATTGTTACTCATAAAAGCTGATAAGTAATTGATAAATAACTCATAAGCAACTTATAAACAATTTTACAATCACTGACAAAACAATCATTTTTAATCTTAGTAATCACACTGTATTATATATATTTGACACTCATCAATTTTTATTGGTAATGTTCCAAACAGATTACTCAAAATAACCTATTATCTAACTTTATATAAGCATGTTACTCTACTAAAGATTCTTGCCTATGTGATAACTTTAAACAATAATGAATAATAATAAAAACAGACTTTAGATACAAGAATAGTGTTCAATATAAGTCTATACATCTGTCTTAGTATATTATATTTTTCTTTCATTAAATTATTTATCTATTATCACACTATGAATCTCTGAACTTGCATCTACATTATGTAGTTGCACTTTACCAAATTTATATTAGCCATATATAAAATACGTATCTTTATCTAAAAACAGCATTTCATTAATAAATCAAAACAACTTTAGAAGTTAAACACTATGTACTTCTATTTCTAACAATTAAAAATCAGGTGTGAATATCATCAACAGAAAAGCCTGTAATTAGATATATAAATTTTATAAATCTAATTACAGGTTTTTTTTTACCAATACTCGAATATGAAAGATATATAACCACAGTGATTCAGTATCTATAATTTTTAATATTAATTTTTAACTTTAATTCAAAACTAAGAACATTATATCCTGTTACGCAAATACAATTATTAAAATTAAATATGTTAGACGGAATAACTAAAATAAGAAAGAAAATGCGAACGTTTTTTCAATATAGGCTATTAGAATATACTTACCAGGACATGAAAACAATGAAATCGAAATAAGTTTATTTATATTAGCAAATCCTGATGATCAGGATCCAGAGTCGCAAGCAATTTTTAAAAAAAATGAATATTACTCTGTTGGAGAAAAAATTATACCAGGATCTTATGAAGAAAAGACTAGCCCAAAAATATTTCAATACTTTATATAATAAGGTAAAACCAATTAGATTTTCTGCTTTATATTATTCTCTTTCTGGAATTTTTTTTCCTTTTATAGTAAAAAAAAAAAAAAGTCCATATAAATAACACAATAAACTCTTCTCCCAGAAGGTAGAAAAGAATAATGTAAAACAAAGAATTTAATTAGTCTGGCCTAATAGACAAAATCATTGCTAACAATGATTTAATACTTAGATGATAGCTTCTACCTCAACTCATATAACAATTACTGATAAAAGTTCAGATTCTAATAAATGCCTTCTAAAAATTTCTTTAGTAGGAATTCACAAGGAATGCTAATTGAAATTAAACAAACTGAAAATTTTATTATCGAAATATACATATCTGATTATGCTGGTCAACCATACAACTATATAATTAAAATTGCTTTTCCATATATTAATTCGCGATTTAAGCATCTCAAAACTATTATCTGCCTACAAAAATCAATTTTTTTTGTGATTGGACAAATGGAAATAATAGATACAAATTTTATGCTTACACTAATGATATTAATTATATTGACGTTAACTTTGTTGCTAAAAAAAAAGATCCAAATAATATTAAATCATCTTTAACAAATCCAACCCAATCTAAACTTTTATATATTTACCAAAATATAACTAACAATTCAGAAAACTTTGGTACTTCAAATAACAATGTTCAATCATTAAAACATATGAGATCTGATGAATTGAATGAAACTGGTAAAATGGATAATACTAATAAAACAGATAACATTGATTATACTAATAAATATAATTCTGAAGACTAATTA